GTTCCCCAAAAGCCCATAAGCCCCCCTTACTCTCAGGACAAGGGAAGATTGCTATTCCCAAAGCCACAGTCATTAGCAGCAGGTAGAGGGTCCCAAGTACACAGTAACCTTTAGTTACTCACAAGACCACATTCCTTTCCTATGTAGACTTACCCTCTTAGCTGTAGACTACCCCAGAGATAACATAAGTATTTCACTTTAGTATATACTAACCTTGTCTTTACTAAACCAGACAGAATTTATTTCTAGGCTCTTGTAATTACTGCCACCCTAGCTTGAAGCTGAAGTTCTCAAAAGCTGACCTGAGGCTCAAAATTCTCAAGCCAATCTGGGACTAAAGTAATCAAGCTGGTCTGGGACTGAAAATTCCTGGAGACCCTCTCATCTAAAGACCCTCCCTGGCAATCAAGATCTAAGAAGAAGATGCACCCAAAAAATGGACTTCCTCGTTCTAAAAATTATGACTGTTTATACCTAAACAAAACAGACGTCATGTTTTATGATTATTGTTCCTATACTTTAAATGCCTTACCTTTTTAGAGCAAAATGTTTCACTTACTTCCCCTCACCCATCCCACTGCTGTAAAACTCCTTCTATAATAAATACGCATGACTTCTGGCCATCAGGGCTGCAGTCTGGAGTTTACTCTGGCTGTAGCCGGCTAAGAACATGCTAAGGGCATGAGGTCTTAGTCTGATTCCTGTTCACCCGCGTCGCCTCCCTGTGCACCCACCCCGGCTGGGGGTACGGCTCCCGGCACACAACCTTTCCCTTTTCTGTCTGAGCTGCTCACTTGGCTTTCCTCATGTCCCTTTCACCCAAGTTAGGCATCAGCTAGGAAGGTACCTCTGGATTCAAATGTAAACAAGTCTCCATTCCAGTTATGCCAAATTTGCTCACAATTCAACTGCTACTGCATACCTGGATTGCATTCATTTTAATTTTCAGGTAGCCCATATCTTACTAAACACATGTTTCTAGCCTACCTTATCAAAAACTTTGCTTTAGGAAAAGACTGCTCTTAAAAATTCTAACAAAGTTAAATAGAAACCTAAATAAATTATAGAACAGATCTAGACTTTTTTGTAATACAGTTTTTGCTATTATATGTTTATATGTATGTCTAATTTGTTTTAATTATGACTGATATTTTTATTTATGTTTAAGCTATTTATTCTCATGAACTTTTCACTACTCAAATAATTTTTTATTTCCTGACTCCTTGAAACCCATCTTTCTTGAAAAAAATAAGATATTTTCTGGAAGAAAACTGAGTTTCAAGAGCATAGGTGTGTGGGGATACCAAATTTTGGTGGATGCCAACATTTTGGTGGTTAGACAGTTACACATTAACATAAATGCCCAAGATATCTCAGAAGTGATGGGGTCAGATAGTGGGAAAGACATTAAGGTATTGTGATGATTAATTTTGTGTGTCCACTAGAATGAAACACAGAATGCACAGCACAGATTATTTCCAGAATGAGCATTTAAACTGGCATATTGAGGGGTCAGCAGGTGGTTAAGGCCCAGGACTCCCACACGGCCAACTTCAGTTTGAGTCCCAGACCTGGTGGCTTGTTATCTCACCTTCCCGCTCTCTGTTTCTTGCTAGTGAGTGCACATACCCTAGAGGAAATATTAAAATAATAATAAACAAAATTAAATAAATAATTCTTTAAACAAAAATTGTCATACCGAGTAAAGCAGATGGTGGTCTCCAATGTGGTTCCTAATCCACTGAGAACCTGAATAGAGCAAGAAAATAGAAGAGGTTAAATTGGTTTTTGCCTGGCTACTTGAGCTAGTACTTCAGTTTTCTCCTTCTCCCCCTCAGCACTCATGGGTCTCAGGTCTTCAGACCAGTACTAGAATATACACCCTCACCTCTCTGGTTCTGACCTTTGAACTACACCACCAGCTTTCCCAAGTCCCTAGTTTTCAGTCAACGGATCATGAGAATTCTCAGCCTCCATAATCACATAGCCAATATCTTACAAGGGCTCTGTTTCTCCCTAAAGAAATGCCATTTCATAAACTGGGATGTGCAGTAAGACCCTAATGAAGCAAGGGACACTGGACCCATAAGTTCTGATGATTCTCTTTATCATATCTATGTCTATCTAACCTATATCTATCTATCTGTATTTGGGTACTAAGAGTGGTTCTAGAAGAGCAAAATTTTAAGGAAGAGTTTTATGAATTAGTTCTAAGGTTTCTGAATTCTTTCTAATCTGAATAGATTTAAAGATGTTAATAATTCTATTTCCAATAGTAAAGAGAACACTTAGTCCATGGCATGAAGTAGTAATAGAGATAAACAAAATATGTGTATTGGATATTCCTAATCAGCAGTTCAAAGAAGCAAAGATCTAAGTGACTGTGTATATAACATTTTCACACATTTTTTAAAAGCTAATGTATATAAGTTTGACCAGCCCACTCCCATTTTTTGACCCCTGGGCCAGGAACTTCGAGGGAAGACTGTCCCCCATAGCTTTAGCCCCAGGACCCTCAAGCCAGAGACCCCTCTTCCAGCCAGGAATGCACCCCACTCCCATATTTCAATCCCTGGGCCAGGACTTTGAAGGAGGACTGCTCCCTGTAGCTTCAGCCCCAGGATCCCAAAGCCAGAGACCCCTCTTTCAGCCAGGTACACTTTTTTTCCTTCATTTTCTCTCCTTTCCCTCTTCTTTCATTTGTAAATTTCTCTCTTCTCATTACCACATAGGAACGCCCTTAGTCCTACAGACACCCCACTCCTATCTTTCGACCCCTGGCGAAATCGCATGCCACGCAACTTTTTCTTTATTCTTTGTATTATTTTCTTCCCACTTATTCAGTCATCACTTCCTTTATCTACACCATCCCTGGCTGTTTAGATAGGTCTAGAATTACAGTTCTGAATCATTCTAGTATTTTAAGACTCTGGAATCCTCCCTTTCACTGAACCACCTGCGAAGAAGGAGATACTTTTCTTTGTACACCTGAAGAGAATACTCCTCCTTGGCTCACATTGCTAAACACAATAGAAGAGAGACTTTGGCTGTCTTCATTCCACAGCAAAAAGGAAACACACTTGCTCCTATTCCAGGAAATGTTCTCCTAAAAGGTTTTTCAAAGGGAACACATCTCACAATGGTTAAAAGTACAAGAAAAACCTCAGGTCTGAATAAAGCAGGAAATATGTCTCCATCAAAAGAACACAGTTACGCCTTTCCTTTTCTTGAAAAAATAGAGGACGTTACCAAAAAGTCCAAGATAGAGTTTAGAACATTCATGTTGAACAAATACTATGAGCTGGAACAGAAAAGAGACAATGAACTACAGGAAATGAGAAAGTCCTTCCATGATATGAAGGAAGAAATGGACACGCTAAGAAAGAATAAGATGGAAATATTAGAGGTGAAGTCTGTAATACAGGATATCAAAAACTCTGTCGAAAGTATTAAAAGTCGATTAGACCATGCTGAAGATCGAATCTCTGATGTAGAAGATAAAACTTCTGACCCAGGGAAAACCACCGAAAAGATCGAGAAAATAACAAAACAAACAAACAAAAAAAAAATCATTAAGATAACATACGAGAAATACTAGATTCCATTAGACGTCCTAACATCTGAATAATTGGTATCCCAGAAGATGAAGAAACTAATAAGGGCATGGAAAACCTATTCCATGAAATCTTAGAAGAAAATTTCCCAAGTATAGAGAGACACTCAAGCATCCAGACACAAGAAATACAAAGGACCCCAAATAGAATTAACCCAAGAAGATCTTCCCCAAGGCATATCATAGCCAGACTGGCTAAGTCCACAGATAAAGATAAGATACTAAAACTGGCAAGAGAGAACAACAAGTGACTTACAAAGGTCACCCATCAGGCTAACACCGGACTTCTCAACAGAAACAATGCAAGCAAGGAAAGAATAGGAAGATTTATTGAAAGTGTTGAGAGAAACAATTTCAACCAAGATTATTGTATCCTGCAAGATTATCCTTCATATGGGAAAAAAAAGATTAAAATCTTCTCAGACAAACAAGACCTGAAAGAATTTGCCAGCACCAGGCCAGCTCTCCAAGAAACCATGAAAAAAGTACTGTTCCAGGAAAATTAAAGAAGTAACAGCCAGAAACAAAGAAGTAAAAGGCAACTAAGACAATGGCCAACTTAAACGTTGGGACAGATCCAGTAACATCGATTATAACATTGAATGTTAATGGATTAAATCCTCCAATCAAGAGACACAGACTGGCTG